AAAAAAATTTTTTCTGAAGAAGGGTCCAGACCCGAAACGTCAGCTTTCCTGCTCCTCTGATGCTGCTTGGCCTGCTGTGTTCATCCAGCTGTCCACCTTGTTATCTCTGCTTGTAAATGGGTTGTTCATTAGAATGAGGGGAAAGATGATCCCTGGTTTGTTTCCTGCCATTTACCCAGTTAATATACTGGTTATTAGGGTTCTTAGCCTACGGTGGCCAGCTTTCATGGTTTGGTTATGAGAATCTTTAAGGTACAATTGCAAATGGACCTGTAGATGTTATCAGTTGTTAATCATTAAATGGAAAGAGGTCGTGAAAGTTAGGGAAGAATGAAGTCTGTTACAATAATCCCCTAAGGAAAGATTATGTTTTTGTGTCTGCATTCATGAACACTGAGGGGCTAAAGTAATAGCACTCCCAAAATTGTGTGAAGATTATTTGGACATAAATCTTAGTACCTACAGCTTGCCATAATCTTGTGACCTTTGATTTTTTTCAGCATAAGTCATTTCACTCAGCACTTGGAAAATGGTGTCAGGAGAGAGTAACAGAGATTGAATGGATTTTGTTAGTGATGACTGAGCTGGCATTTGTAACCAAACAAAAAACATCAAAAGATAAATAAAGCTTTGGACTGCAACTTGGTACTGGATATCGCCAACCAAATGAGTCATTTTGACTTTGAATTTTCCAATGTGGCTTCGAGGGATATGAATGGAGATTTGAGATAAGATTGGTAATTTCTTTCAGTCTTGATGGCAGAATGATAAGTTTGCCACAAGTTGACTTGATAGAGATGTACAAAATGATCAGAGGTATAGATAGAGTGGACAGCCAGAGACTTTTTCCTAGGGTGGAGGTAGCTATTATGAGGGGACATAGTTTTAAAGTGAGTGAAGGTAGATATAGTGGAGATATCAGAGGTAGGTTGTTTACTCAGAGTAGTAGGGACGTGGAATGCATTGCCAGAGAGGGTAGTGGAGTCGGCCTCATTAGGGGCATTTAAGCAGTTATTAGATAGACATATGGATGATAATATAAGGTAGGGATGGAGGTTAGATAGATCTTAGGTTTAGGGTAAAAGTTCGGCACAACATCGTGGGCCGAGGGGCCTGTACTGTGCTGTACTGTTCTATGTTCTATGTTCTATGTTCTGAACATGAAACCCAAACAAACAAGGGTAGCAACTGTTATCATTGATGGGGTAGGCGTTCTACAGGCTGTACTGCACCTAGATCTCTCTGAAAAGTAGAAAAGCCAGACATTGAAATTTTGAGACATTGAAGACTTTGAGCTCCCAACCAATGTCATTTATGAATGTTATATGTTGAACAGTAGAACTCTGGAAGAGAAGGAGAATATTGAGCAGGATGTGATGGCACTGAGGTATCCAGCTGAATCTTATGAATTCAGACTATGGAAGGATGAAATCAGCAGAGATAGGATTATTTTAGGAACAAAAGTTTCTGCTGTGAGAGCCTGTCTGCTGAGAGAAGAGAAGCCTCTCCTCAAGGAAGTTATTTGCGTGTGCTGAAACTCTAATGCAGCTTGTCAGCAGTTGAAGAATATCAAAGTGAGGACTGATGAGCCCGTGCACTGTGGCAATCCAAGCCACCCAAAAGTACAAGTCAATGATGAAAGGGAGGACAACTTTCAAAAGGGCCAGGGAAAAGATCAAAACCAGAGTTACAGGATGTTTCCGTTTGTTTCCTCTCCACCTATCCTCTCCTCTATCCCTCTTCTATCC